TGGACATGTACATTACAACATTACAACAATGTTCATTACACTGCTATATAGACTTATATAAAATAGCTGACACTTATATAAACTATTTTATATAAGTGACATTACACTTATATAAAATAGCTGAAATATAGAATGAGTTATGTAATAATAAATATAAGACTAGTTCATTTTTACATGTTCAGTGTTATAGTAAAAGAAAAGTAAAGACTTTGATAGCTGACATTACCTCTTGGTTCTCTTAAACTTTTTATTCCGTGCTGCTTGCGTGAGAGTGCCCTTATACTTTAAATCAGTTTTGTTTTAAATTTGATAGTTTCCAATTAAATTGTAGTAAAAGGAGATGGTAATCGTGCATGGTTAAATTCAATTTGACTTAGTCTAAACACTAGTCTAATCTTCCTAAACTGCCTGACGAATTATTGTTCTGTCTTTACCTTCAAACCTAGAATGATAAAGTAATAGCAGCAAACCAAAATCCAATTTAAAGTATTTATTTTCCGCTTCAACTCTAAGTAAAGGGAAAACAAAAGCGTTAACAAAATTACCTTCTGTTTCTAATGGCTGAGCACAAAACAAACATTCAAATTATTTACGACCCGGGGTTTAAATTTATATCCTATCAACCTTTCTCAGCTACCTCGAGACTACGACTACTAATGGAATTTCAATCAAAAACAAACTCATCAGTTTGTCGCATAGTACTAAATGCAATCGACAACAAAGAAGTTTTCCATCGGAAGCTGAGATTACTAACTCTTTCTCTCCTAAACTCGTTCGTTATTTTATCGTTATTTAAACTTACTTCATTTACATTTTCTGGTAAAGTAGATGAAACAGCAAAACTAAATAAAAGATTCGATATAAGAAATAGCGAATTAATTAAAATAAACTTTACAATCCAATGGGAAAGTTTATCTAATAAGCTGAAGCTATATCCCACTGAAACATTCAGAAATTAATTCTTTTTAAGAAATCAGAATTAGGAATCTAACTGGATTTCAGTCTCTTAAAAAAAAACTGAGAATGGTGGAATTAAAACGATTTCCTTCGCTTTCTCCTTTACTCTCTTCAAGAAATCCTTTGTTTAATGAACTTTTATGGAGGTAAAATATCATTTTTCAGACGTACAAAGCCATTTAGAATTTGTTTCGATGTCAGGAATTTGAAGAAATCTGCAATGCTTTCGCCGGGATTCAAATTCCGAACCTCCCGTCAAGCGTGATTCCAGCTACACAAGCATGCGAAAAGGAGAGAGAAATTACCTTATGTACTCCTTCTTTCAAAGGACAACTGGGAATGAGGGGACTTAATTGCCAAATCCCAGTGGTGAATCGTCAATCCTTTCAGTTTGGGCACAACTTGCAGAGGCTTTTAGAATTTTTTTTTCGAAATCAGAAAACTGAAGAAATGTGCAATGCCCTCGCCGAAATCTAAATTCGTACTTCCCGAATACGTATCCAGCCAGCTTCCAGCTACACCACGAAGGCATGCGGAAAGGAGGGAGAAAATATCTTATACAGTAATTCTTACTTTGAATTGTTACATCTACTATTTTAGTATTTTTCTGAGAATATATGTAATTTTATTTTTCTTTAAATCACAATGATTTCTCTTTTTGTTTCATATCTTTTGTGATTTAATGTTTTCTCCAACCTCTTCTTGTAATTCCGTTTGACTGTATATACTTATTTAAAATATATATATAGAATTACGTGAATTTATAATAAAACGAAATGGAATTCCTTGTAATAAAATTGTTTAAGAGGAATAATTTTTACTCGATAATGCATGTTTATATTTACAGTTAAACTGCGATCTGAGAAAATAAATCTGCTTATTTATATCAAATTCTCTTTCTGTACCTATTTACTTCACCTTTATTGTTAATTTACGTTTCCCTGTTTTTTATTTTTTTCCCTTTACTTGGCTGAGTATTTAAAAGAACTTCGAAGAGGATTATAATATTTATGCAATTTATTAAACTTAAAAGTTAAATTTTTTGTTAAAATAAAACAATTTTTGGTTCATTAATTTTTAACTTTATTACACTTTATTGAAAGATCTTAGAAAGTCTAAATTTTCTTTGCAGAAAGTCTAAATTTTAGAAAGTCTAAATTTTCTTGCGTTTTTTTCCCATATGACCACACTCCAACGATGTTCTTTTATTCTGTTTTTCTTCAAAGCTTTTACTTTTTCTATGACGTCTTCATTCTGTAATCTTTTGCATTTATATATGTTGGCCCCCCGTGAGATTTTACGCATCTTCTAAAAAGTACTTTTTCCTTCTACTTCATTTTGTTGCTTTTAACTTTGCATTTCGTTTCACATTATCTGATGCTTTTATTATGCTCAAGACAGTCATTTACAGAGAGCAAAATCTTTTAATCTTTCGCGCTGTTCACGACACTTAAGATTTGAGAAAAATATATCCCTTTTACAGTTATGCAAATCAGCGTGACACATTGCATCGTCAAGTAATCCACAATGAAATTTCATCGAAGTATATTTATCTTTTTCGCATTTAGAGCCAGCTTTAGATGCATTATGATACCTTCTTCAAGATTTCTAAAGCTGACATTTTTAGTATTTTCTCTTTAGAAGTACATGCTAAGGATGTATTGGGGGGTGGGAAAGAGGAAAAAGAACGTCGCTAAAAGGTGCAGCCAATAAGAATTATCTCATGAAAACATGATGTCGATAAAAACGTTACCTAGAAATAAAACAGCATTTATTTTGTCTTTTAGTGAGCATTAAACTTTACAGAAGCATATTTTAACAAGTTATTAAACCTCCATTAGCAACAGTACAAACTTCAAGAAAGGATGCAATCTATCACATATAAGCTGGATATCATGTTTTAAAGTATTATACGTGTTTACACTTTACCTGTATTAACACACAATTTGGAGTTGTTCGGTGCCTGACGGGATATAAGAAAAGGCTTTCGCCTAGTCCAGGGCCACGTATATTCAATTGAGACAAGAGACAATTGAAACATAAAGAACATCGTGGCAGAGAAAATTATCGCGTGTTAAAAATCTACCCGAAAGAAACGTAGCCTAGCGTTATTCTTATGCATTTCAAAATGATGAGCTGATTCTGATTATGTACTGTTATACAATGTAGAATTATTATCATTCTATTTTTTTCGTAGCTGAAGGTCTGGTGTTCTTTTTTTTTTTTTTTTTTTTTTTTTTTTTTTTTTGCGACACGACTGCGAACGTTACGAGAAGTCACAGAAACAATCCTACTTCTAACAGATGATTCTTGTTTTCAAAACGCCGTTTGGTAAGATCTGCTTAGCACATAGACATACATATCGACAGAATTTGGGATCGTGATTCTTCCCCTGCCGCTCTCCTGATACGGTGACAATCTCGTGCGTCCATAACTCTGTGCTCTCTGAAGCGCCACGTATTCGAGTGAGGAAATAGTCTTCGGATTTGTGCATGCAAGCCTCCACATTTATTCAACTTCAAGTCTCTTCACTGCGACCGCTCAATGACAGAGCGAGGTTGACGATTACAATCGGTTTTCGCTATCTTCTCCTGCTGGACTCCGAAGGTGTAACACGGTCTTCGGCCCGTCCTCACCGCCGATGATGCGTGTCTGCAATTTTGTTCTTTTTCGTGCCTTTCTGACGACCATCTCCATATAGTTTCAAGAGAATGCATTTTTGTCAAAAATAATAGTAAGCGGATGAAATTTCAACTAAATTGATCTAGATGCTGACTTCAGCGGTAAATTAATGGTGTTTTACGACTTGAAAGGAATTCCCGTGCACGTGTTGCATCTTGATTAGGCCTCGTCTTTCCACAAAAATATATTCGAATAATCCATTTTACAACTCAAAGTTCCTCCGCTTGTAAAAATTTGAATTTTTGTTATCATGTAACTTTGTGTAACGAAGATGAACTGAGATTTATTAAATTGGATCCTTAACGCATTTGTGCACGAAAGGCTAGGACTCAAAATGGTAGGACTGATCTTACTGTAGTGCAGTAGTACGTGGTGTATTGTCTTATGTCTGGTTATGTTTTCTTGATTTATACTAATATTAATTTAAATTTTCACAATGTCAAAATATAATAAATTTCTCGTAATTCACATTATTTGAAGTGTCAAATTCTATTTTTTTTTTTTTTTTTTTTTTTTTTTTCAGATCACACATTTCATCCTGTACGTATCCACGTTTTGGGTTATTGCGGTATCACATTTGGCACCCATACATTATTACATTTGGTGCTCATTATTACAGGATTATTATAATCATCACTGTATTATTACTGTTTCTCTCCTCCAAATGGATCTAGGATTTAGCGAAAAGAACAACCTGGTTTTGGAAGTCCCATTAGGAAATCTCTCTTGAATCACTTCATTTAAACAAATGCTAATTATATGCTCTTTCCAAGTTCCTTCGCAATAGCTTCTTAAATAAATCAACAGTCTCACCAGAAAAGTAACTTTTTTGCTATTAGGCCTTAAATACTTGCTGTCGGCATATGCATATTTTGAAACTCAACGACGCCATTATTTCATCTAATGGCATTCATACTTTTATCACAATTTATAATAACCTTAATTATTAGACTATTTTATTTTAAAATTCTTAAAAGAACTGCTTTTCGTGTACTTTTCATTTCCTGTAAGTGTATAAAAACATTTAGTTAATCATTTTTGAATTTAGGATTATGCAAATTGGTAATGGAAGTTCAGCATTTCTTAGGGCATTTTATGCTGAGTGTATGTGATATTTCACGTTAACCTATGATGTTGAAGTTTTTCCCCTAAAATATGTAACAGATGTATCTAATGTTGCGTATTAAGGATTTATCCTGAATGCATGTTTAGAAAATATGTTTTCTTTATATGTTTGAAAAGTGTTCTTTTCCTGTATGCTTATTTGCTTTTACGAATAAATATTTAAATCATAAGTAATCATGTTTTGTAAAATTTCGGATATTTTATATTTAAATAAATACCTCTGATTTTCTACCTAGATTACTGTAGACCGGGACAATTTATGTGCGGAGACAAACAATGTGTAGATAGGGATAGAAGATGTGATCTTCGTGAAGACTGCCTCAATGGAGTAGATGAAAGAAATTGCAGTAAGTTTGTAATTTTATTTCAAGCAGTTTTTAATATATGTAAGTTTCATTTCGGTCAATTGTCTGCTAATTTTGATGTGAATTCTTCTAATAAGGTATATTTTTTCAACAAGAAACATGCCAAGGTGAAATTAAATTTTCTTGTGAAAAGAATGATCAATTTTACTTAATTTAAACCCATATTAGGGCTATATGTTCGGCTAAATATTTACTATATTGAAACCTGTATATAATTACATATATTTTGGTCTAAAAGTATACTTATTGATATTCAATATTTATGAGAAAGCATTCAGATAAAACCTGGGAACAAAAGTCAAATTATGCTGTATGTTTTGTTATGGCCACATGACCTGTATAAGATCTGATACTTCATTTTCTGATTCAGAGATTGAAGTCGCTATTTTAGAAGTGCATAAAGGTTGTCTGAATGTCCTTTTCTTTAATCGTACATTTCTGAATACCTACAAAATGTTTCTAGTGCCAGATAAATTTTTTATCATTTTCTTTCAAACGAATAGTCAATAGTCAAAAAGTAAGACGATTGATTATGACAAATTCCGAGAGAACTAGCTAACTTGCAAAAATTATCTTATAAGATTATACTCTAATTTCACTTAAATTAAACTGAATAACTTTATTAGACTCCTGGATGATTTTCCATCCGTCTTAATTTAGTCTACAACACAAGCTGAAAACAAAAAATGTATAAACAATAACTAATACGTTTGTTAATACTTCTGCTTGAAATTTGCCACTAAGAACAAAAAACTAAATTTCTCTGCTTTCTGTCTAATTACACTACAGCAGCTTGATATTTACAGTTCAAACCAATAAAACTGGAAATCTGTTTCTTCAGCTATCACGTCTTCTTACCTAACTGCAAGTGAAAAATTAACTCATCAAACAGTCAGCACCACTTCACCAAATTGAACTAGAATTTCTGTTCGTTTGTTTCCAAAGTTTTCAAACCTCTGTCTAAAATTAGACCTCCTCGTTATTTAAACTCATTTAATTTCAGCTTTCTAATGGAGAAACAGTCTACTTCACCAGAAATTTGGTGGATTATTTCTTATCAACATAAGAAATAAACATAGCAATTAAAATACTTTAAATACAACTTTCCAATGAATTTTTATCCTTCCTTCCAGTGCAGTTGGAAGCGCATCCGGCTAACAGTCAAGAAACCCGGATTTCGAATCTCGGAGAGTGCATTGCAGATTTATTACGTTTCCTGCTCAAAAAAAAAGTCTAAAGGCTGTACAAGTGGCACCCGAACTAAAATGCGGTGGGCGAAAACTCGTTACTACTTGGATCCCCTTGTTTCCTTTTAAGTGAGGGAGAGCATGAAGAATTTTCTCCTTCCTTACGCGTGCTGTCGTAGTGTTTTTGGAAGCATGTCAGCTAGCAATCTGGATGTCCAGAATTCGAAGCCCAGCCAGAGCAATTCTGATTTTTCACATTTTCTGCTGCGAAACAATCTGATGACTCTACACCTTCCGTGTGGAAATATTTCTGAAGGAAACTTCTAGTATCCACTTTATGCATGGAGAAAACCATAAAAGCATCTCTGCAGGCATCCCATTTGTTCAGACTTTCACAATTTAACTTTCATGATTCAACTGATTTATTCTCTCGACCAGAGGCTATTTTGATAGGGCACTAAAATCCTTTTATTCTGATGAAGACCAGATGCAATATTGTTATTGCTGGTAATGAAGAAATTTATGCTGAATGATGTTACAAAAATGTTAATCTAAGTTAAAGCAGTTAGGCAAAGTTTGAAGGAATAGCGAAAACTGAAGATACATTTAAGAGGCCATCTAAAATAAATGGCCCAAAATACTGTGTAATGTGTTTGTTACCGTGTAATCTAAAGTAATTTTGTAAGATTGTAGAGACATTAGGTTTTTGTTGGAGACCGGAGAGAGGAAAAATTAGCAACCGCCTTCGCCGAGAATCGAACCACAGACCTCTGGAATACGGGCCCAGCGTGCTACCGTTACACCACGAAGGCACGCTAGGGAAGTGGGAGAAATACCTTATATACTCCCCTTTTTAAAGGGCGACTAGTGTTTTAGGGGACCTAGTCGCCAAATCCTGGGTGTGGAGAATCTTCATCCACAACCCTTTTAGTTCGGGCGCCACTTGTAGAGTCAGTAGATTAATTGGAAGCAGAAAAGATGAAAAATTAGCAACCGTTTTCGCCGGGAATCGAACCACGGACCTCTGGAATACTGGCCCAGCGTGCTACCGTTACACCACGAAGGCACGCTAGGGAAGTGGGAGAAATACCTTATAAGATAAAGTGGCTTTATTAATACTAGATCTTAACCATTATTTCACGTAAATAGGAAATGTTATTATTGCTTTTGAAACAAAATCTCATAAATATACAGATAGTTTCTTGGTTCAGAAACCCAAAAAGCAACCCAAAAGATGATGTGAAGTTTATCAATATGATATTAAAAATATCAAAATGTTTCATTACATAATAAGTGCTTCATATTTTTAAAGAGCCTTTTATAGTCATTTAGTAACTTCACTAACTTTATTCAAAAGTTTTCTTTACTTACCTTATATTGTTTATTTAATGTAGTGCCGCGGTATTCAATCAGCTCAAATCAGTATCCGATTGAGATAGGCTGTAGTCTTAGACGCAGCATCCTTATGGAGCCTCCCCAACGCTCTCTCTCTTTTTAGAGGGAAAAGCCAAGCTTTACGTAGAATTATAGGATGATTTCACATTTCATCAGTTACATCTGCACTTCATTTCTGCATCTGCGAAGAATTAGGAGATGGTCCGCATTATCTATTCAAATGTCCAATGATGAAAGATTTCCACATTCGTCATCCCTCACAAATAAATCCAAAGTAGATAGCCTTCTTTGTGAAAAAGGAAAGAACACAAAAGAAACAACATCAAAATAATGAATATAGTAGGAAACATATTTATGTCATCCCTGATGAAGAATCTTTTCATCCGAAGTAAAACTCCATTAGGTCATAGCGGACGCATAAAATATAAAATGTAAATGTAAAGTCACTAACTTCCTATTACAAAATTTCAAACTTGTGAACCAGCAACATTGCGTCGCATAAACAAGTACATAACTAGGGTTTCCTTTATTGCTATCAGGGAGGTATCGAACGAATCATTCGGTGGCGAGCAGCTTCTCGAAACTATACCCTATCAACAATCCCCCCAGTACCGCACGTAAAAAAAAAGTTCGCTCTTTACAGGCAAAAGTTTTGTAAAGTTACAGAAATCAAAAAGTTACACAAGAATTTCCTGTAATGGTAACAGGTTGAAAGCAAACTGTGGCGGATACAGCAGATTTGCCTGTAACATTACAGATAATGTTTCAGTAGCCGCGCGGAAGAATCACGTGACTGACTGGAAATTAGCCAATCAGGAGAAAAGTGTTTGAAAGCTAGTTGCAGAAAAAAACATGGCTGAATGCATGTTGGTTGTATAGCGCAGGTAAGTAAGAAAATGTTTACAATTACTGTTTGAAATATTTTTTGTTCATTTTATGCAGATTATTCTCATGCACTTTGCACTGTTATATGTAGTGAGTAAGTATTTAAACGTTTAAGCTTTGCGATTAATTAATATCAGTGTTCGTAATGTCTAATGAGTTGAAAGAGTGCAAAATATTTATTCCAAATGCAGATCTAATAGTAGTATTTTGTCATTGTGCATCCGATAAATTACGCCTTAAATTGCCCGTATTATTATTTATAAACTAATTATTCCAAAATTTAATCACTGTTTGTGGTATTTAATTGAAATGGTAATGTGGTTGTTGAAAACAAAATTAATCATGTTTAGCGTTCGTTTGCAATCGTCTGACCAAAGAACGTTTGACATCTTTTTCCCGGCAGGCCTTGCGAGAAAAGTTTATGTAAACATTTAGAATTCTGAATGTAATGTATATATTTTTTTGCTTACTAGGTTTAGTTTATTCTTTTTCTAGGATTACCTAATTAATTATACCTGGTTTATAATTCAGTCTAATATGTTTATGTACGAGTGTGTTATGAAGTAAAATTACAAAAACTTGAACAACGCGGTCGAGAATCTCGTTTATTCTTTAGTGTAATAATATTTTTTTCAGTGGTATTAATTTCTTACGAAAATATTTATAATTCCAAAATGAAGTAATTATATTGATTAAAAATATGTCCGCATCATACTTTTCGTAATGTTTTGTTTTACTAACTAGATGCAACTTAATTATTCCATATATTTTAATATACCAATATCAACAGGGGAAAAGATGGAAATGACCTAAAATATTTTTCTAAAAATTCGTTAAACTAATTATAAAAGAAAACTAAAATTTTGTACATTATTTCCAAAAATATCATTTCATTAATATTTTATAAATGACAACATTTATTATATTGTATATATAACTACCATTGCATACTTATAAGTTTTTAAACATTTAATGTAAAATTTATGTTGATTTTATTTTGCCCAGTTTTAATACAGTTTTGAAGTATGATAGTCTTGTTACTAGGATAGCATGAATCTGCTAATACAAGTTTAATACATTTCTTGACAAATGTTTCTCTTATTCATGTAATATAATATATAAATCATAAAATAAGTTTTCTTAAAAAAATTATGATTGTGTTATTGGAATTTAAAACAATTCTGTATCTGTATGTTAGTATTAAAAATAAAATAATAATAAATTTTTAATGAAGCATTGATTTTAGCATTAACAATGTAAATATATATATATACACACATGAATAAATGGAAATGCAAGCTACTTTTCCTTACAAAGCCGTCCATGAATATATACTTCCCTTTAGGCTGATAGCCTTTGCATGCTTTGCCATATTCTATCAATCCAAATGATGCAAATATGCAGAAAATTTTACTTTCTTTGAAAGTTAATACCGCAGGAAATAAAATTCAGTGCATTTGTAAACTACATTAGTTCTCTTATAGCTTGGCATTTAATTGTCCCAATGATTTACTA